TCCCCATCGAGGTCTCCTGGTTTCCCCGCCCCTGTTCCTGGTTCCCCCTCCCCCGGTAGCCCGTGCTCCCCTCCCTCCCCGTCCTGCCCCATCTGGTGTGTCTCACGTCACTCCCCTCCCGTCGGTTGTCCCGGTTGAGGAGTCGGCTGACTCTGGTGGCCCCGCGGTGCAATTCTCGCCGCCTACCTCTCCCCCGGTGTCTCCTTCTCTGCCGTCGCACTCGCTGCCGCAGCAGCCGTCGTCGCAGCCGCAGCAGCAACAGCCGACGCCGCCGCAGCAACAACAGACGTTCGTGGTCTCTAGGGGTGCTGGCGTTGAGGAGGGTGCTAGTCCTGGGGCTCCTGTCGTGGCTTGCCCCGGAGAGCCTGGGGGTGGCACCGGTGCGGGAGAGAGCTCTGGTTCAGGGGGTGCTTGCATGGAGCGTCCCGGAGTCACAGCAGACTGGGCATGGCGGGTTGCAGGCGGCTGGTACAGTTCGGAAAGGTTCAGGATGGTTCTGGACTCTGGACTCTGGACCTGCCAAAACGGCCGTTTCAGGTTCGCGGATATGGGTGCTTGGTGACAGCAAATTAGCGTGGTTCTCTGATCTGATCCATGGACAGATGTCCACCATTCGAAGAGCGACACATGGCTACACAGCTGAACTCCCTCACGTACGACCATCCGCGTCAGTAATGTAATTCGCGAATCTACTTTGAGGTGCTGCAACTAATTCGCGGGTAGCTATCAAGAAAACAAATGAAAACGTATTAATTAGAATTATATCATCTTCACCCCTCCGTATAATATTTGTCATAAGTTGTGTTTCATAAACCCAAATGTCAAAAATTGGAAATATGTCACGAGAAATGGCTGGTTTTCATTGATCCAATACATAAAATGCATCCAAATATTCAATGTTTCACGAAATCTTGTCTTTCACGGTGTGGATACGCCATCTTTTTGTTTCGCAATGGCTTCTCTGACTGTGTGAGCCCTGAAAATAATGTATCTTTTCAGAAGTGTCGCACGAAGACAAAGCTAAATCTTCCAGATGGCATTCACACAAGCTCGAATAACATTAGTATATCTAATAGCTATGCATCGAAATTGTTTACCTCCTCCTCCTCCTGCGTTCATCGCCTTAAAAAATGTGCTGAGCATCTGTAGGAGGGGGGCCATAGAGGAGACATAAAGAGACACCCTTTTAATCTTCAGATTGCAGGCAAATATGGAGTGAGGGAAATACACAATTATTCATCAGATTCCAATACGAATTTCAAATGGCACATGAATCACCTCGTTCGTCATCCAGCCCTTGTAATTGTGGCACCAGCACACGTACGACTCAGGATTGGAGCTGCTTTCGTTGAAATCGGACGACCTTCGCACTTTGGAGACGATGAGAGGGTGGTACATCCTGCTGCCGTTACTGTTGCACATAAAGGTCGTTTTGATGCGATCCTTGGCAGCTTTACGATCGATGAGCCTATCTGATCACGTATGGCAAGGCAGCTGCCCGGTGCCTGATTTTAACAAGTAAATTACTCTAATTCTCTGATTTTGAGAGTTGATTTTGTGTACCACCCTTATGACTCAGGGTAAAATTTTTGAGTTTATACGTTTTCTCTAGGATACCCCGGATTTTTCTGTACCCCCCTGTCCACATACCTTCGCACCTAAGGCCTGGGGCATTCCGCTAGGGAACGGAATCTGCACATGACTACCCATAAGCGGACGGAATCTCTTACAAATTACCCGTTAGAGAACGGATTCGTCGAAGTAATATCCTGCCATTTGAACTTCCCGTTCTTACGGACAGGCCCTTCGTCATGTGTGAGGGAGAGCCCGGGGAACTCTAAAAGGGTGTGAGGCGTCCTGTGATCCAAGATACCAGAAAGCGAATTAAATTGCTTTCAATCGCTAAGTGGTGTCCCCTCCCATATGAGGGGCGGAAGCCGGGGGAGGGAAATAATAAGACCAGAGGAAGGAAACGCTTACTTGTGCCCCTTCTTCTCCCCACCCCTCCCCACCCCCCCACCCTCCCCAAAGTGCGTTTCGTACGGAATCAAACGATGGTAACATGTTCTGTCAAGGAATTATTGCAAAAACGCAAAAACGTACCACACACTAGTCCGTTTTCTGGACGGAATCGACGAAAGTTCAGTATGTTAACAGAGACCCAGCCGTAAATAACTTTAATTTCTAAGAGTAATTACCTGCTAGCGAGAGGGCTGAACGAAAGGCCTGCGCCACATCGCTGCACTGAGGCTCGGTGAAGGTGCTCACCAGTTGTGGCGGAGAGGGCCAATCACGTCACAGCAGACTGGGCATGGCGGGTTGCAGGCGGCTGGTACAGTTCGGAAAGGTTCAGGATGGTTCTGGACTCTGGACTCTGGACCTGCCAAAACGGCCGTTTCAGGTTCGCGGATATGGGTGCTTGGTGACAGCAAATTAGCGTGGTTCTCTGATCTGATCCATGGACAGATGTCCACCATTCGAAGAGCGACACATGGCTACACAGCTGAACTCCCTCACGTACGACCATCCGCGTCAGTAATGTAATTCGCGAATCTACTTTGAGGTGCTGCAACTAATTCGCGGGTAGCTATCAAGAAAACAAATGAAAACGTATTAATTAGAATTATATCATCTTCACCCCTCCGTATAATATTTGTCATAAGTTGTGTTTCATAAACCCAAATGTCAAAAATTGGAAATATGTCACGAGAAATGGCTGGTTTTCATTGATCCAATACATAAAATGCATCCAAATATTCAATGTTTCACGAAATCTTGTCTTTCACGGTGTGGATACGCCATCTTTTTGTTTCGCAATGGCTTCTCTGACTGTGTGAGCCCTGAAAATAATGTATCTTTTCAGAAGTGTCGCACGAAGACAAAGCTAAATCTTCCAGATGGCATTCACACAAGCTCGAATAACATTAGTATATCTAATAGCTATGCATCGAAATTGTTTACCTCCTCCTCCTCCTGCGTTCATCGCCTTAAAAAATGTGCTGAGCATCTGTAGGAGGGGGGCCATAGAGGAGACATAAAGAGACACCCTTTTAATCTTCAGATTGCAGGCAAATATGGAGTGAGGGAAATACACAATTATTCATCAGATTCCAATACGAATTTCAAATGGCACATGAATCACCTCGTTCGTCATCCAGCCCTTGTAATTGTGGCACCAGCACACGTACGACTCAGGATTGGAGCTGCTTTCGTTGAAATCGGACGACCTTCGCACTTTGGAGACGATGAGAGGGTGGTACATCCTGCTGCCGTTACTGTTGCACATAAAGGTCGTTGTGATGCGATCCTTGGCAGCTTTACGATCGATGAGCCTATCTGATCACGTATGGCAAGGCAGCTGCCCGGTGCCTGATTTTAACAAGTAAATTACTCTAATTCTCTGATTTTGAGAGTTGATTTTGTGTACCACCCTTATGACTCAGGGTAAAATTTTTGAGTTTATACGTTTTCTCTAGGATACCCCGGATTTTTCTGTACCCCCCTGTCCACATACATAACTCCGTAACCACGCCTTGTTCACGTGGACCACTAAACTGGCCCACACCATATGCTGCCAAGCCCACCTTCGTAGGCGGATACCCTTTTCTCCCATTAGACACTTGTGTTTTTTTTCTCGCAGGATGTGGCACCACATCCGAGTTTACCACGGCGACTTCTGCCATACATGTACTCGCTGTACTAGTATGTGCCTCTGATTGGTCCCTTAGACATTTTTTGCAGCCACACACCTCAACAGCCATGCAATACTTAGGGAATCTTTTCTCGCACGCGCGGGCATATGCCCTTCTCGAACATTCAGGATGGCTCACGATGGCACCTGGCCTTCATGTCGATGGCACCACGTGATTCAAGAACAGACGATGAAACCCTCGTCTACTTAGCCCTATTCTTGCCCTCGTGTAATGCAGCAGCAGTACCCGCTTGTGTACCAGTTTAGCAAACTCATCTCACATCGCGTCGAACGTAAACTATTCCGTCAGCCTCTTTCCTCTCTTTGTCTCGCCTCGCCAGCCACGGTTGTCTTGGGTGACGCCGACGATGGCGGGGAGGATGATGATGACGCCCCGCCCTCACGTAGCTTTGCCCTTCTCTGCGGCTTAAACTTTTTGCGTCGCACGAACGCCTCTCCAGTAGACCCTCCTCCACTCCCGAAGCGTAGACTTGCCGCCCCCCCCCAATAGAGCCTCCACCGCTTCCCAGTCTAAGCAGCGACAAATGGGAGCGTGAAATGGAGGAGACGAATTTGTCAGTTGGCAAGCCAGCGGATCCTCCACCTTCAGAACCCGTGCCCTCGCCGCTCGCATCTGCATAAGCATCTGCAGAGTTTTCTACTCTAACAGGAGCTTCTACGGAAGTGCCTGATGCAGATAGAGCTTCTCTAGCACTGTAGTTCTCCAAGGAGAGAGTTGCTTTCAGAATTGTGTGTCTCATAGAGTAGCTTGACAAAGCTTGCACACACAAATTCACTAGAAACAAGAATACATAATATGATACAGAGTCAATCACTAATACTACCTCATTGAACAGTGCTAGAACGTTCCCACTAGAAAGTTTACATAACTACTTTCAACAGCACTTAGCCAAGTCAGCAATGGCAAGTAAAAATTACAGCACATGCTTAGTTGGAAAATTTCCCCAACCTAAAATTATTTGTTCAACAAAATTGTCAGCTGTTACGCACATTTCCGCTGTTACAAAATGTTGCATCACCTGTGTTCAATTTCACCTCAGGTAGTCTTGCCTTTTCGGTCCAGATCGGTTCATTCCGAAACTTCTGAAGGGGCGGAAGTTTACGCACTTTCGAAGTGGCCCCTTAGCGCAAGAAGGTTGTTTCTGCCGCATGGACTTTGCAGAAGAGAGTTTCGTGAGCTCTTTTTGCAGCAATCCCACATAAGAGGGTTCCGAACTCTTTTTGCAGACCTCCCACAGAAGAGGGCGGCTCTCCAGCGATTGGGCCCTTGCGCCTGTTAGGATTAAGGACGGAGTCTAGGTGAACTTAGGAACTAGAATTACTCAAAATATAAATCCGAAATTCTGGACAGAAAAGTCGTCTTCACAAGAAACAACGTCGACGAAAAACTAGCCGTTGGAATGTCGCGAAACTTGGATATGTTGTAGCTCTTAATCTCAGCTACCGTTCCCAATTTGAATCACGTTGATTGATGAAGTATTCGCGACGCTATGGCTTTCGACGCATTAGGGGGTAAGCTGTAGGAGGAGAACTTAACTCAATCTCAAAAGGTTCAATCAAAGTTCAAGAATCTCACAAGGAATTAGAAGGAGCAAGAGAAAGGTTGGGATAGGAAGAGAGGGATGAGAGGGAAGGTCCCAAGAGAGTCCCCAACCAAGGAAACCCCATAAGCACAAAGATTCCCTCCCTATAGGAACCTCAACTTTGACCTTTGTCCCTTCCCAACCAATCCATCCAAGTTGGCCACCCTTGCCAACCTAGCTTGGTTGTTCCCAACCTATTTGCAGCTGTTACAGTAGAGTGACAAGTTTCCCCAACCCCAAAGGTCCCAACTCCATATAAAGTCACCCCACAACTTCACTTAGTAACCGCCGCAATTGTAACGCAAGCTCATGAACTTTGAATCTTCATAGCTTTCGCGTTCTTGCTCCGATTGAAGCGATTCTTGTTGCGTCGGAAAGATCTTCTCAAGATCTATCATCACAAATACCTGCTCAAACAAAAATAATACAGAACACATTCCCAAACTCCAGAACACACACCACACAAATGCTTGCACATTCAAACCACACATGCAAGTTGAAAACATGGGATGGGAGGCAGACAGAATGTGATAGCATATGATGACATCACACAACAATCTCCCCCTCTGGCTGCCAACCATCATCCACCATACCACATCTCAAGCATGCATACTCAATGCACACTCATCCCAGCAAGCTTCATGCCCTTCCAATGATCCGCCTCCGCCAGACGCTTGGTGAAAATATCTGCTGCCTGCTGATGGGTCTTCACTATCTCCAGCCGCACCTCCTTATCAAGGAGTCTCCTCACCCAATGCCACTTAGGCCTTATGTGTTTTGTCAGCCCATGCAGACAAGCATTCTTGGCGAGCTTCACAGCGGACTCATTGTCACAAAACACAACTGTCGGCTTCTCCTGACCAACTCCCAACTCCTCCAACAAGCGCCTCAGCCACACCACTTCCTTGGCCCCATGGTGTAAGGCCATGTACTCAGTCTCACATGAGGACAATCCCACCTCATTCTGCTTCTTGCTGCGCCAGCTCACAGCACCACCTCCTAGCAAGCACACATATCCCCCAATGCTGGTGCCATCCGCTTTCACTGAGTTGAAGCTAGCGTCAGTATAGCAACTCAAGAGCATCTCTCCACTCTTCACATCTGCAGCACCTCTCTGCAACCGCTGCCTCACTCCACTGTACTCCAATCCCACTGATGCCGTAGCACTCACATAGCGGACCAACCTCTTGGCCGCTTCCAGCTGCTCATGACTAGGGCGTGAGACCACACTAGCCAACCGTGATGTAGAAAATGCAATGTCAGGCCGTGTATGATTTGCAGCATAATTCAGCGACCCAACCATCGAATGAAACAGCTTCCTGTCACTCTCACCCACTACCTCCTCATCAGCACATGGCTCCACAGTAAACCCTGAAGGTAGTGGTGTTGCTGGCTTTCCCCCATCTTGCAGCCCATACTTCTCAGCCAGCCCCTCACAGTACTTCCTCTGGTGCAACCTCAGCACACCCTTCTCCACATCTCTCTCCACATGCATCCCCAAGTAGTACTTCACCTCACCCATCTTGGAACACTTGAACTGCATCTCTAGCATCTGCTCTGCGCTGTCCAGCAAAGCAGTTGATGCAGAAAAGAGAAGGATATCATCCACGTACACCAAGAGCATGAGGATTTCATCCTTCTCCTGCAGCAGGAACAGGCTGGGGTCACACTCACTCTTCTTGAAACCCCCAGCCAACAGCGCCTCCTCCAACTTGTGATACCATGCACGAGGCGCCTGCTTAAGGCCATAGATGGCCTTCTTCAGCCTGCAGACCCTGCCGCTCCCATCATCCAGCCCCTCTGGCTGCTTCATGTACACCTCCTCCAGAATGATCCCATTCAGAAAGGCAGTCACAATGTCCATCTGCCGTATCTTCCATCCCAGGAGTGCAGCTATCGCCAACAGCACCCTCAGTGTTGTTCCTTTCCCCACAGGAGCAAACACCTCATCATAGTCCTTCCCTTTTGTCTGCTGAAACCCCCTTGCCACAAGCCTAGACTTGTAGCGGGTCAGCTCCCCTTCAGGTCCATACTTGTGCCTGTAGATCATCTTGGAAGTGATTGCCTTCTTCCCAGGAGGCAAGTCACACAGGTCCCATGTCTCGTTTTCAATCAGGGACCCGAACTCCTCATCCTCACTCGCCTTCCACTTCTCCCCATTTGGTCCATTCAAGGCCTCCTCTCGAGTCTTGGGCTCAGGGATTGGTGCCCAGTAGCAGTGAGCGATCTCATCTTCCTCAATCTGCTCAACCACACTCCCAGCCTGCACCACATTTGGCTTGCCTCTTCCCCCATAGGTCAGCCTCACAGGAGGGCGCACATCCCTCCTAGGTCGCTCAGGCGGCTGTGGAACTCGAGGTGGAGACTCATGTTGCTGTTGCTGCTCCACTTCAGCTGCTCCCCCTTCTTCAGTCACCCCAGATATCTCCTCCTCAGACACTGCAACCTCCACCTGCCTTGAAGGCTGCTGCAACTCATCTGCCTCCACAATGAGTGGTGTAGATGGAAGCTTCTGTTGCTGCTGCTTCCATTCCTTATAGTACAGGGACTCAAGAAACTTCACATCCCTTGACACTGTCAGCTTCTGGATGGTCAAGTCCCATAGAAGCCATCCCTTGTGATCCTTTGCAATCCCCAAGTGCACACCCCATCTTCCAGAAGCCTCCAACTTCCCTCTTTTCTCCTTAGGCACATGAAACACTACCATGCACCCAAATGCCCTCAGCATATTCACAGCTGGAGCACTCCCATACCACTTGGTATATGGGATCCACTCCTTATTCCAACTGTAGCCAGCACTCTATTCTTCACAAGGGCGACCTGCCTCAGTGCAGACACCCAAAACGGATCAGGTAGCCCTGCACGCCCAAGGAGAGTGCGTGCCCCCTCCTGCAGGGTCCTGTTGAACCTCTCAGCCACGCCATTCTGCTGCGGATTGTAGGGCACTGTCAGTTGATGCTGGATCCCCTTCCTCTTCAACTCCCCCTCAAAATCAGCTCCAATGAACTCCCCACCATTGTCACTGCGGATCACCTTCACCTTGTGTCCGCATTCCCTCTGAGCTCTAGGCATCCACTCCTTAAGGACAGCCGCTGCCACCTCCCCCTTTCACCTCCAAGCCCTTCAGGCTCCCATCCTTCACCAACTTCTGCAGCATAGGGAAGTTCACATGACACAGCCTCTCATGCCATGTCTCCCAATCGGCCTCTCCACTCCTTGGTGAAGCCTTAGCCCATGCCGCACTCGCATCCACACCAGCAAGCACCTCACCATGTGTCTGCTGCTTCTGCACTTTCTTGACTGCTTCCAGCACCCCATCAGTTGGTGCAGTTGCATCTCCTCCTGCTGTTGCCTTTGCCACTGCTGCCGTTGCTGCTGTTGGAGTCTTCCCATTCCAAGGGATGATGGGCAGCTGCCACAGGTCCTTGATGCAGCTGGTCTCCTCTTCCAGACTCCACAGCACCTTCTTCCCAAGCTTAGCACGGCAGCTGGTTGGTCCAAAGGTCACTTCGGCCTTACTCTTCTGCAGTCGCCGCACAGAGAGAAGGTTAGCAGACAAGCCTTTAACCAGCAGAACATTCCCAAGCCCCACAAGCTCCCCATTAGCTCCCTTAACCTTGGCATTCCCAACACCAATCACGGGGAGCAAAGCACCTGACGCTGCTGCCACATACTTGATCTTCCCAGGGGGTTTTACCTCATCAAGCAAATCTGCCTGTGGGGTCATGTGACTGGTGCAACCCGAATCAATCACCCAGTGCGTGAGAGGGTGCATCACAACCTTTCCCACAGATCCCACATCACCCTCATGCCCATGCACATCCTCAACCATAACAAACAAACCAGGATAGGCATTACCTTGTGCACCTTCACCTTGTGCACCTGAGCCTTGCACAGCGCCACCTTGTGCGCGTTCACCACTGGGCGGCTTCATGCCTGGAGGTGCCCATCCCTCCAGCCTGCTGAAGCACTTGAACCAAGGATGCCCAACCTTGTTGCAGTACCAGCACGTGCCCTCCATTCTGGTACTCCCCCTGCCACTAGAGCTCCCATGCCCCTCATTATAGTCACCTCGGCCTCTACCTCTGCCAAAGCTCCTCCCACGGCCTCGGCCTTTCCAACCCCCTCTTCCTCTGCCGCGCCCTGCAGCTCCATACCCCTCAGCAGTCTTAGTGGCAGCACCGCCTCCCACATGGCGTCTGCGGAAGTCCTCCTGCAGAATCTGCTGCCTTAGCCACTCAGGTGTCCATTGATCTTGCTGAGAGTTGAGGGTGGGGATGAGGTTATCCCACGAGTTGTCCAACACCGAGATGATCTTGGTGCACTGCTGCAGCTGAGATACACTGCTGCCCGCTGCTGCCATCCTTGCATAGGTGTCCTTGATCTTGTCAAGGACCGGCTTCACATCGTCCCCTGGTCGCATGGAGATGGCAGCAAGTTCCTTCTCGAGCACGATCACCATCAGGAGAGTGTTGGGCTGAATCACATCGCGTAGTAGTTTCCACGCCCTTGGACCCGAATCATCCGCTTCCACAAGATCCTTGATGTGCTCGAACATCTCCTTGTTGACCGATTGAAGGATGAGGTCGAAAAGCACCGTGCTTTTCTCAATCCACCGTTCACGTGCTTCGCCTTCTTCCGGCATCTTCTCTTCCCCAACAGCAATCTTCAGTAGCTTGTAGCGTTTGAAGGCACTTCTCATCCGTCCGCTCCATTCCTCATAGTTGGAGCCATCCAAAGCTTCAACTTTTGATGGCGGCGGCTCACTTGTCTTCTCAGCTACAGCTCCTCTTCCATTAGCATCTCCTCCTCTCTCATTCATCTTCTCCTTGAGAAATGACGAATTTCAGCCCCCCTTTGCTGTCCACACTCAGCTCCCTCGATATTTTCACAAGTGTCGGCGTCCACGAAATTTCGGCAGAGTTTCCCTTAGCGGAAGACACATCCAACCTTTAGAACACCACTTAGGCACACCCACAGGCCATGGTGGGTCTAGAAGGGTCTTCACACTTCTGTAGACTCCTCTCAACGTCCTTAATACAGCTCTGATACCACTTGTTAGGATTAAGGACGGAGTCTAGGTGAACTTAGGAACTAGAATTACTCAAAATATAAATCCGAAATTCTGGACAGAAAAGTCGTCTTCACAAGAAACAACGTCGACGAAAAACTAGCCGTTGGAATGTCGCGAAACTTGGATATGTTGTAGCTCTTAATCTCAGCTACCGTTCCCAATTTGAATCACGTTGATTGATGAAGTATTCGCGACGCTATGGCTTTCGACGCATTAGGGGGTAAGCTGTAGGAGGAGAACTTAACTCAATCTCAAAAGGTTCAATCAAAGTTCAAGAATCTCACAAGGAATTAGAAGGAGCAAGAGAAAGGTTGGGATAGGAAGAGAGGGATGAGAGGGAAGGTCCCAAGAGAGTCCCCAACCAAGGAAACCCCATAAGCACAAAGATTCCCTCCCTATAGGAACCTCAACTTTGACCTTTGTCCCTTCCCAACCAATCCATCCAAGTTGGCCACCCTTGCCAACCTAGCTTGGTTGTTCCCAACCTATTTGCAGCTGTTACAGTAGAGTGACAAGTTTCCCCAACCCCAAAGGTCCCAACTCCATATAAAGTCACCCCACAACTTCACTTAGTAACCGCCGCAATTGTAACGCAAGCTCATGAACTTTGAATCTTCATAGCTTTCGCGTTCTTGCTCCGATTGAAGCGATTCTTGTTGCGTCGGAAAGATCTTCTCAAGATCTATCATCACAAATACCTGCTCAAACAAAAATAATACAGAACACATTCCCAAACTCCAGAACACACACCACACAAATGCTTGCACATTCAAACCACACATGCAAGTTGAAAACATGGGATGGGAGGCAGACAGAATGTGATAGCATATGATGACATCACACAACAGCGCCAGTTCACCTGGGGCGCTTTCTACAGCGCATGCCGAATTTCGATTATGCCACTGGGTCGCCTGCAGAAGAGCATTCTGCGCGCAATTCTCCAGACAACATCCCATCTGTGATGAGAGCCAGCTGGGCCAAGCGCAGCACAGCATCATCAGGGGCGTCCATGCCGAGGTCCTTGAGGCCGGCCGGGTCCTTCAGGGAAGCCTCCACCTGAAATATGGCAAAAACGTGGGCACAACAGGCGAAAGGAAGCAAGCGAAAATGGCATGGTGAATAGACACAGTTCGAGGCTGACCACGCACTGTTGAGAAGGTAGCTATCCTTGTCATGCTTGGCAGAGATGACAACAGCACTGCCATGTGCTTGAAAGCTGCCATGCACAACACCAATGCCATGTGCAATGGTGATGCCATGGGAACAGAAATGTTAAGTGCGACAGTGGTGTCATGTGAACAATCATGCTATTTGCGATGGTGCTGCCATTTGCATGCCACAGAAGAAGCACTTACCCATGACAGGATGTGGTCGACCTCTCCATCATCCGTATAGAGCGGGCGACTCCGTCCGGTAAGGACCACAAGCATGAGCACACCAAAGCTGCACAGAGGGCAAGACAATGAAAGAATCAAGGGTGGAGTAATTGCACAACGGTGTTGAGATGGAACACGTTGAGAAAGTCAGGGCACATGTTGAGAATCCCAGAACAATTAACCCCAGTTCAATAATGAAGAGAATCAATCACCTGTAGACATCAGTGGCGCTGGTTGCCTTTGACGTCTGAAAGTAGATCGGATCCACATAGCCAGGAGTTCCCATGACTCTAGTCGTGCCCACATTGCTGCCTTCTTCCATCCTCACAAGCCCAAAATCTGCAATCTTGGCCTGGTGGAGGGTACAGCATTAATAGCCTTGGTAAGGAAATTTGAAGAAAAAACAGAGAATGATTTAATTTTACAGTCAAGCACACGAAAAATTGAACTCGATGGTGCTCCTCCAATTCCTGTCCATAAATAGCTCATGTTACGCCATGTTTCTACTCTTGTGTGTTTGCACCAACATCTTTCATACCGAATGTTGTGCATCAATAATACATGAAGTACTCGTTTCAACCATGGCCCAACTCATCGTTTCAGGCTCAACTGTTGACACTCATAAGCATAACCATTTGCTGACCAATCGGCGTAAGCTGCACGACCACAGCAGAAGGCCAGCTCATTTCAATAAAAAAACCAAAGCGCGGAATGGTGTGCCTAATGTTCTTCCTTTGATTGACACACAAAAGGTAAACCCTGGTGAGAGGAACAATGCAATAACATCACTGCTCTTCATGGCCTTTGATGGCAAGGAAGATCTTAGGAGACCCATGGAAGATTTAGTTAAAATAAAGGAAGCTGTGGAATGGAAGGGAGCCTTGCGAATGGTTAGACAAGTTAGACAAGCAATCATATGACCCATTCCAAGTTGCCCATGTAAGGTCATTTGCAAAAGTCTAACTAATTGGACTTGGCAATTGCAACTCTTGCACAATCTTCCTTGATTCAATTAATTTTACCCCAACCAAAAGCCCAAACGCACTTAACAACAAAGTTCCCCCTGTAACCAGACCCATGAAATCCCCAAAGATTTCCCACATGTACCATCTTCCTTAATTCCTGTTTACTTCGGCTTTACGATTGCATGATATGATGAGTACCTTCATAAAAAGGCTGAGAACGTGCATTGAGCTTGCCTGCATGTCTGCACCCAAAAGGATGTTGCCAGGTTTGATGTCGCGATGCACAAGGTTGAAGCTGTGGAGGTACTCAACGCCACGTGCAGCACCAATGAGGATGTCCAGCCGCTGCTTCAAGCTGAGATGAACGGGTGCTTCTGCAAAGATACAAACATGACGCAACATGAGCTTTTTTTGGGTCATAATAGAAGGCAAAAATGCAGTTCGTTGAAAAATACTTACGTGTGCTGATCCACTTCTCAAGGTCACCATTCGGAACAAACTCGTAGATCAAGACTTGCTCTGGTCGTGTCCTCATGTCTCCTCCAACAGCAAACCCGAGCAGCCGAACAATGTGAGGATGGTTTTTGTCTGCCAGTTGCCGGACCTAGAGAGTGAATAATGTGTCATGAGAGAACGGATCGAGACGTGTACCAGATCGGGCGGGATTGAGAGGCATGTCACAACGGGATGGACTGAGGGGCGTCCAAATCTTTTCAGCTTGGATCAGAAGTTTCCTAAAATTGCTTGAGTGCACTGGTTTATGCTGGCTGGATCTGCTGGTTTATGGACTAACCTAGGTGAGGGGATAGTATGTACGCTACGATGGGCGCCATAGCGAAGACACGCACCTCTTTCTGAAAGTCAGCATCAAGCAATTTAGCTCGCTTGACAGCCCACGTTGTGGTGCCATCCCTTGGAGACACGCCCTTGTACACATCACCAAAGGTGCCGGATCTAAGCTTGTTGTCATCGGACCAGTTGCTCGTGGCTGCCATGACTTCCTCAAGGGAGTACTCGATGCAGTGAGAGGCTGCTACGCTGCCAGCCAGGCCTGCTCACGGGTAAGGAGTAAGGGTGCAGCACACTTTGCACAGATTTTGGTCTCCTGTGCAAATGATGTGCATGGAAAATTCATCTTCAGGGGTTAGAAAATAGCATCAAAAGGCGAGTCCCTGGAAAAATGGGCATCAGCACATGGCCGAGCGATGGCTCGTGAATAGACATGGTTAAAATGCGATGCGATGCGATATCGCATCGCATTTTGTCATATCGCGCGTGATATCGCAGCGATGGGATATTCAGTTTCAAAAACTGAAATCGCATATCGCGATTTAGGGTGCGATGTTAGAAGGTATCGCACCCATAAGTGCGATATTTCGCACGATGCGATTAAACATCGCATCGCATTAAGGGGTCGGAGGAGAAAAGCAAAACAACAAGGCCGGCTTTCCTACGTGCGCAAGGAATTAGGTGAGTGAAGTTTGACGGGAGAATGAGATATCGTGGCCCCTCTCTGATGTAAAGCGTGTTAGAGGGGCAGGGGTTGGATTCTGTAGACGCGAAGGGATTTAGTGCGGTTGAAGTGGTGGAAATTGGTTGGAGTTCCAACCAATTGACTTAGTGGGAGTCGAGATTGCAATCAACCCCCTAAATCCCTTTAACCGCACACCACCACATTCCATCCACCACCGCCCATGTCGAAATTTGAACCTCTAACCAACTCCCCTCCCTCAACCGCACTGCACTCCTTTTCAACTAGAAATCCCAACCCTTCCTCTCCAAGCTCCTCACAAACACCTCCTCGTCAATTACGCCAACCCCAAACAGCCGCGCGCAATTTCCGCACGCCATTACAATCAGAGAACCCTAAAATTTGCTAAGTTCAGGGCCCGCGCCCATGTCCCCCCCCCCTTTCTGGGGCAATTCCGCGACGCGATATGCGGATGTATGGCGCGCGATATTTCAATATCGCATATCGCATTTTATCGCGCTGAAAAAACCGCGATAAATGCGCGATATCGCAAAAATTGCGCGATATAATCGCATCGCATCGCTGCGATTTTTTATGAGAAGAAATAAAAATCGCAATCGCAAAATACGATAAAATGCGATGCGATGCGATATACCCATGTCTACTCGTGAACCAGGCTCGAGTATGAACCAGACCCCGTAGTTAGGCTTGAGCATGAACCCGACCCGACCCGACCCGACTTGACTTTGCCCTACCTGATGCCGGGTTCGGGTCGGGTCGGGTCGGGTCGGGTCGGGTCAAGTCGGGTCGGAGCTCGGGAAATGTCAACCCGACCCGGGTTTAATAGGTCGGGTACTACCTGACCCGATTTCAGGTCGGGTCGGGTCGGGTTGGCATAGGGGCATGGACGGATAATAAGCCGACCCGACGCGTCGGGTTTTGTCCGTCGGGTCGGGTCGGGTTGACCCTCCGCAAATGTCGACCCGACCCGTCAAAAAGTCGGGTTCGGGTCGGGTTACCCGACCCGACCCGACCCGTTGCTCAAGCCTACCTGTAGTTGCTAAACCCAGTCTCGTATTAAGGATAGCCGAGCTAAGCCAGTCTAGGCTTGAGAATAATACCCGCGCGGGTCGGGTACCCGGACCCGGATCCGCTTTTAGGGCGGGTCGGGTATCCGGATTCCGGAATATTGCCCGGCGGGTCGGGTTCGGGTTACCCGGGCGGGTATTCGATACCCGTAACCCGAAACATTACCCGACAGGGCAGATAACGGGTACTAGGCTGGAGCAAAACCGGGTAATTACCTGACCCGACCCGATTTGCAATACCCGACCTCGGGTCGGGTAATTTCGGGTCGGGTCCAGGTCGGGTAATATGCCCAGGACCCTTACCCGGACCCGGCCCTAGGGGACGGGTAATACAATACCCGCCTGGCGGGACTGGGTATACCCGACCCGGTTACCCTGAAAAGCGGGTAATACTACCCGCCACCTACTAGCGGACATCCTAAAGTTGGGCTAGGCTAGGTAGGGTTCCTGAAAACACGACTCTCAAATGAGAGTCACGTTTTCTAGGGGTCGAATTTTGACCACCCAACTCCTTCCCTTTCACCGCACTGAACTCCTCCCCGTCTACAAACTCCAATTTCCACCCAAACTCCCTCCCTTTCACCGCACTGAACTCCTCCCTATCTACAAACTCCATTTTCCAACCAAACTCCCTCCTTTCACCGCACTGAACTCCTACCCATCTACAAACTCCAACCTCTTCTCCAACTCCCACCCAACTCCCTCCCTTTCATCGCACTTAACTCCTCCCCATCTACAAACTCCAACTTCTCCTCACAAATGCTCCACTCGTCCCCCATCACATCCAAAACCGTTTTGCCGCAAAATCTAGAACACAGCGCGACTTACGCCCATGTCTAGTGGAATACCCGACCTCGGGTATTTTTTACCCGACCGGGTCGGGTACCCGTTACCCGACACGTCGGGTAGCATTTCGGGTAGCGGGTATTGAATACCCGCCCAGGTAACCCGGACCCGACGCGCCGGGTAATTTTCAGGATTTCTGATACCCGACCCGCCCTAAAAGCGGATCCGGGTACCGGGTACCCGACCTGGGCGGGTAGTTTGCTCAAGCCTAACGGGTACCCGTCGGGTCGGGTACTTACTACCCGAGGTCGGGTATTCCACCTAGACATGGGCGTAAGTCTCGCTGTGTTTTAGGTTTGGCAGCAAAACGGTTTGGGAGGTGAGGGGGGACGAGTGTCGCATTTCATGAGGAGAAGTTGGAGTTCGTAGATGGGGAGGAGTCAAGTGCGGTGAAAGGGAGGGAGTTGGGTGGGAGTTGGAGAAAATGTTGCAGTTTGTAGATGGGGGGGAGTTCACTGCGGCGAAACGGAGGGAGTTTGGTTGGAAATGTTGGAGTTTGTAGACAGGGGGAAGTTAGGTTCGAAATGTTGGTGTTAGTAGACGGAGAGGAGTTGAGTGCGGTGAAAGGGAGGGAGTTGGGTGGTCAAAATTCGACCCCCCAGAAGCGCGAGTCTCATTTGAGAGCCAACCCCGTTTTTAGAAGCCCCACTAGTAGGTGGCGGGTAGTAATACCTGTTTTTCAGGGTAACCGGGTCGGGCATACCCGGACCTAGGCTTGAGCACACTACCCGCGCAGGTCGGGTACCAGGTACCCGGATCCGCTTTTAGGGCGGGTCGGGGGTATCGGGAATCCTGAAAATTACCCGGCAGGTCGGGTCCGGGTTACCCGGGCGGGTATTCAATACCCGCTACCCGAAATGATACCCGACACGTTGGGTAGCGGGTACCCGACCCGAAATCGGGTAGCGCATCTACCCGACGGAACCAGCGCGACATTGATCGCGCTGGTAGAGAAACTTCAGCACGTTTTTAGGTTACGTTGCTGCTAGGTCACGTAAAGCATTGTAGAGTGGCTGGCAGGGGTTGGATTTCGTAGATCCAGATGTATTCAGAGCGGTTGAATTGGGGGATATTGGTTGGAATTCCAACCAATCGAATTTCCCCAATCGAATTTGCAACCCAACCTGAATCCAACCAACCACACAGCACCACATTGGTTGGACTTCCAACCAGTTGACTCTGGTTGTTTTTTTATCAATCAAACCCCCTAAAACCGCACACAACCCCATCCCAACTAGAAAACCCAACCAACTCCCCACTCAGGCCCCACTCAGGCCCCACTCACGCCCCACTCACGCCCCACTCACCAGGGTAAAAAAAAACGCCGTTTTTTTCAAAAAAATACCGTATTAAACGGTAACGAATTAAACGGCCGTTAAATACGAAAAAAACGGTGAAAATTGTGCAAAAATAGGTTGGTTAAAAAAAAACGGCCGAAATATTTAAAAAAGTGCAAAAAAATCGGACGAAATGCGCGGATCTGGCATTTTGCCCGCCCAAATGCACGGATCTGGCATTTTTCCCACCAAAATGTGCCAGATTTTGCGTTTTTTGTGGACGAAATGCATGGATCTGACGTTTTGTCAGCCGAAATACGCAGATCTGGCATTTCGCCTGTCGAAATGCGCGGATCTCGCATTTGGGCGGACGAATGGCAGACGATTAGGCTGTCTAGCAAAAAAAAAAAAAAAAAAAAAAAGATGCTCTATTTAAAAAACGGCTTTTTTTTTCAAAAAATCCCCGAAAAAAACGGCCGAAGAATACGGACCGTATTTTTCGAAAACCGTATTTTTGAACCTTGCCACTCACCACACCAGAGCTGTTAAAGATCTGGCGCACCTCATACTCCCTCCCGCAACTGACGTTTTTTAAGCACTATCTAGTTCGTAGGTTTAGTAGCCCAACAGGCTAGGAAAAAGCGGGTATCACTACCCGCTTTTCAAGGAAACTGGGTCGGGTATACCCGGACCCGCCAGGCGGGTATTAATTTACCCGCCCCCAAATCATGGGTCCGGGTATTGGTCTTGGGCATGTTACCCGACCCGTACCCGACCCGAAAATACCCGACCCAAAGTCGGGTATAGCAAAACCGGGTCGGGTCGGGTAAATACCCAGTTTTGCTCAAGCCTACCCAGACCCA